AAAAACTTGCTAAAAATATAATGCAATGAATGTTGATTGACTTTTATTGTTACTATTTTTGGTAAATAAATTGTCTGCTTATATAGATAGACTAGTGAGTGGCTGTGCCATGCACGAGAAAACAATATTATGATTGTTTTATGAATTAAATATACATAAAAATTAATCAAGATTTACCTATCGTTTTTAAATTAAACCGTGTTGGACACAGTCCGACCGGATGGACTAATAATCGGTTTATAATCAGTCTAGTTCACTTGAATAAAATATTTACTATTGAATCCGTCAACACCAGTCGGTTAAACTGGAAGGATCGATACGAATTTCTAAATGAATTTGGCTATATTTGAAACTATTTTAAATAAAATTACATATTTAAATAAAATAGAGATTTATGAATTGTTTATAAATTAATTTAAACATTTGAATTTTTAAATTGTTTAGATATCTAAATAACACATTTTATTAAAATTTATTACAAAAAGTACTATATATATATATATATATATATATATATATATATATATATATATAAAAGTGTATTTTTAAAGAAAAACATTAAATTGTATGATTTTAATAAATTAAAATGTATGATTAAATTGTATGATTTTATTCAATCATATTTGTACATTCAATTGTATGATTTTTAAAGAAAAACATAAGAAAAATAATAAAATTACTATTTATAGGATGCATTAAATACTGATCTTTTTTTTGCTACTAATTTTAGTAAATAGGATGACTCTTTATATAAGAATAGATATCTTCAATGCATGAATGTTGTTATTACATAATTTGTGACAAATGTCAATTATTTAGATGAATTGTGAACCACATAAGATAATTATTAGGTTCACAACTTAATTCTAAAAAACTGTCTCCCATGGACAATATAATCAAACACAATATTGTCCACTCGGAAAAATAAAAAATTTATATATATAAAAGAAAAAGAATTAAATAATTAGATATTCTAAAATGGTAATAATATTTATCTCTCCACTCTCTATTGGTTGACTAGAATGTGAATGAGAATGTGGATAAACCACATTCTTCTCTACATTGTAGACATTATTAATGTCCATCTCATCACTACATTTGTAATAACATTGTGCATTGGAGAAGTGGATAAATTGTTAAATATGTTAATGTAGAGTGTAGTTTACTACAAATACATTTAAGCATTGGAGATGCTCTAAAAGAGTGTATTTAATTGATACTTTTAACCACTTTTACGACTTTTTAAAGTTGGTGACTCTGGTGGACTTTGTGAAACTTTAACGACTTTAGAGGACATTTTGAGACTTCCGTACAATTCTTGTTAGAGACTTTTTAAAACTTTCATCCTGTACTTTTGAAACATATTAAAACTTTTATATACTTATAGTATAATAATTATATTTGAATGAAATGTTCATGAACCTTGTTCCATAACTAATATTAATTAAATTAAATCATATCTTTTTAAAAACAATATTAAAATGAAACCGAGTTCTAGTACACGCTAGTTGTTCAACAAGAAGAAAGCAAAGAAAATAAAAAAAATATTGCAGTACAATTGTGTAATAAGATGAATTAATAATCATCTAATTTTTTTTGAATCAACTATAAAATTATTTTTTGAACTGAGTGATGTAGCGCAGCGTAAACGAAAGGGGAATAAGATGTAAAATTTCAACGTCTGTAATATTATTCAATCATTCAGTCGGCCAAAAGAGAGGAACAAAGGAATAAAAAGAGTCCAAAACATGTTAGATACATATCTTGCTAACCAAGCAATTATTAATTAAGCTGTTACCAACTAAGGAAAGGACAATAAGAAATAATAATAAAAATATCTAGGAAATAAATAATTAAACTAAAGCCGGCATCCGATCATATTTCTTTAGAAATACCAATGCGATCTCGTCTCATCACCGAGTCATTTAAAAACACAACTTAGTTCTGGTGAAAGCTCAAACTCGACTAATTCGTTTTCTTAAATGAAACGTGTAACGCCCGGAATATTTTTAGTATTTATAGAGCTCGACTTTATTTCCATAAATAGCAAATTTTCTTATTTAATGCATTTATTTATTATTATTTGTATTAAATCGATTATTTAATTCTAGTTTAAGCCATGGAGAATATATTCAATTTTAATTTTAAAAATTGAATTTATTTAGCCAAAGTATCGGTTTTATTTTTAAGATAAAACGAGCTTTGGAAAATTGGAATTCTATTTAAGTCGGACTGAAGCCCGGACGAGCCGAATCTCGACCCAATTATTTTTCGAGCAAGTCCATACCATTCGGCCCATTTTATTTCAGCGCAATCGAGTAGGTCCAATAACTTGAGCCCAATTTTCTCGGGCCCGTTTAATCGAGCCCATTATTTTTATTTATTCGTCCCGATCAACTATTTTTAGTCCAAGTCCCGTTACATTTTAATTGGCCCGAACATTTTATTTCTAAGTCCAAGTCAATATGCGGTCAAAGCCCAAGCCCAATTCATACACAAACCCTAACTCCCTCTGACTACTATATATATAAAATTCATTAGAACGCCATCATCTTCATCATTTGCCCAACATAACAAAAACCCTAGATGTACAAATCCATCATCGTCCTTAGCCTTCCACTATAAAATCTGGCACCACCACCTTCGTTTCTCGGCGAGCCGCCGTCCAGCCCACGCCGGCAAGCCCACGACCACGCCACCACGACGAGCCCTTCACCCCGTCGTGCCCAGCCACATTTTACGGTGAGTCCAAGGCCCTCACTCAAATCGAGCCACGTCCACGGAAATGTGCATGATTTTCATCTCGGGGGTGAAGTTATGCTTCTCGAGCTTTTGGAGAAGCATGATTCTAAGATCATCGACATCGAAGATACCTGATTGGAAACGGTCGATGACCCACCTTAGGTTAAGACAGGTGTTCAGCTCAATGTCCTCCTTGACCTCTTTCGAGCTCCTTGTCGACCTCAATTCCTCGTTCATACATAAACTTGTGGTGGGAGGTCACCTCGTTGCGCAGCTTTTCCACCTCTGCTTGATGGGCCTCTCTAGTTCGGACCAATAGCGTCTCTGTTTCGGAGTGATCTCGACGAGTCTGCTAACGTTCCTCGTGCTCTTTTAGAAGTTTTTCCTTACAGGACCGGGCATTCTGCTCAGAGAAACTGAGTTGGTCAGTGAGTTTTATGTTCTCGGTCATCAACTCGGCTATCTCATGTGCCACTCTCAACTGATCGTTCTTCTCATCCACTTCGTCTTTAAGGTTGGCCGCCTTTGACCCTAAGAATGCAATTTGACAATCACCCAACACCAACTTGTCTTTTGTATCATTCAACTCAGTCTGCATTCAACCGATATTCATCCTCGGCGGCAACCAGAATTACTAAAGCCCTACCGAGACAAGACTGGGCATAAACGAGCTTTTGGATGCCCGACATAGCAAATACACCAGCCTCAATAACTGGATCTCAAGCCATCAACGGGACCCAGGCAACATCAACAACATGGGAAGGGTGATGGTACTTATTAGGAATGTTGGGCACCTCTACAAACTTGAACATTGCATACCAACCCTCCACCACCCCTTTGGGTAAATCGTAGTGTTACGCCCTCTCTTCGTCCACCTTGATGAACGACTTGCCTCGATCTGGCCGATGTTATGTTTCTTTTCTGTCTGCCCTTCTTCAGAGACATTCGGTTCGCCCTCAAACCTCTTGCCGAGTCTTCTTTTGTTTTTAGTCTCCAACTCTTTGGCAACCTTCTTCTCAATATCGGTTCCCTTCGAGCCCGACAATATGACCTGTAGGTCAGAGCGCACCAGCTCCGTTGTTTTCTCCACCTTGGTCTGAGAAAGACGCTGACATAACCATCTCGGCCCCAATAGCTTGAGCCGAGCTTGTCTGAAGTCCAGTAGTTTGGCTTGGCACCGTACCGTGAACTACAACACCGGAGCTCGCACTGGCACAAGCATTAGAAGAACCTCGGCCAGTAACGTTCTTAGTCATCCCTTGCAGCAATTGCATGCGTCCCATCTCGGATATGTTCTTATCTTTCTTGGCTTGGAGATAGGAGTTCGGATATTGACGCTGAAAGTTTTTGGCTTCTTCAACCGACTTGAATCCATGAAATCCGAGTAATGGATAGTAGACTATGAATATTAAATGAAAAAATACATCAAGTAATTGAGGTCGGCCATATCAACAAAAAAAAGTAAAGTAAAAAAAGGGAGGGCCGAGTAATAATTTACCGGGATAAATCACGATTGATAAGGCCCAAAGATAAACCAGCCAACTCGAGCTTCGTATCTTTAAGTAATCGACGATAATTTCGTTCCGAGTGACTTAGTTTTGCAAGTTATTCAAGTTATTCTCTAAACTCGTTGCTGAGTTTGGGCTCTTTCTTCCTCTTGGCTACAAATATAAAATGTTCTGCCATGTTAGTACAAGAAAACAACGAGTCATTAGGATAGCTCAGTGAAAGAAACAAACTTACTGTAAACATTGACAACTCGGGTAGGGACAGTCATCCCATCAATTAATGGTTCACGAAAGAAATCAATCGATTGCCAATCTCCGCCGACCAACAACCACTCTTCTTGGAAACCATGGAGAGTCTCGAGAATCCCTGTGACCAGTTCCCCAACCCTAAGTTCTTTTTTCAGTAAGTCAGTGGTACGCCCTCTCGTTCTCGGCTTCTCTTGAAAAAGAGGTTGCTTCTCATTTCTTCAATCGAATGGAATTCCCAACCCTTCTCAACATACAAGACCAAAAGCTCTAGGATATTTTTCCAGTTGTTAGTCGGGATCTAGACTAAGGTCGAGCCCCCAATCCCACAGATAGTCGGTGATAATGTTGGGTAATGGGAACCTCAAGCCCGACCTCAGACTTTTCGCAAATATTCCGATGCACCGGGGGTGGGGGGGTGGAGGAGGGGGGACAGTGAATTCTCTACCCTGGATAAGGAGCAAAAATCTTAACAGAGGGCGAAATCCAGACTAAGCCCCGTAGTTCCATGACATTGGTCGGTCAAGACGCTCGGTTCCCCCAAAAATTCGACGTCGGTATCTGGCCACTGGCACACCAGTCGCCTTAAATACACCTTCAAGACAGAAATATCTCGCTCGACTTCAAGGTCACCTTCGACGTTATTCCTCCTCATGTAAAGACGTTCAACGAATACGGGATTCCACCGGTAATATTCCACCGCCAATTCCAAGACAGCACTCTCATCTGAAATTGTCCTACTGCTACTAGAGGCCGCTTGTTCTGCATTTGTCGACGCCATCCCCTAGTAAATAAAAAAAATTAAACTAATAATTGCAAGAAAAAAATGTTAGAAGCAAGTCTTATCAAAATTTGAGCTTTGGGTGGGAAAGTAAAAAAAATCGCTAGATCACGCTTTCAAGCGGCGAGAAAATAAAAAAAGATTAAAAAACTGGAAAGCTCAAGAATCACAAATGTAAAAATTTGGGAAACTTCCTTATAAATCCCTAAAACACTTTTAAAGTTCCTTTTCAGTCCCCACATTAATTTTTTTCTTGTACACTCTCTACCCCTATATTCATCTTCCACTTATCTCCCTCTTCTTAAAATTAATCAAAAATAAAAACACAAATGACATCATCCCACTACCAACCTAACTTTAAATATTATTTTATTATTCTTCTCACTTTCCACTACAATCTTTGTTAATTTTTTTATTTTTTTATTTTTTTCTCTCTTTTCATATATTTTTAATATTTTTCTTTTACCATCTTCTACTATTTATCTCTTCTATTACTAACATTTTTCTTAATTTTTTTATTAATTAATGTCTATTTATTTTTGTATAAATTATTAAAATATAAAAATAATATTTTATTAATCTTTATTTCATATAAATCTATATTATACTAAATCTAAATCTTTATTTTTGTCGTTCAAATTTATCAACTAATTTTTTTAAAATTAAATTTTTAGTTTTTAAATTTATTAAAAAATATTTTTTCAAAGATTTACCTAATTTTCAAGAGGAATATATATCAACTAGTACGATACTTGTGTACTACACGGGTACGTAAATATATTAATATTTGTACAATAGAAAAACTAAAATAATTTATTTTTAAATTTTAAAATTAAAATTATATATAATGAATATATAAAAATTATGAATAACTAACAATGTAATATATAAGTCAAAATGGGGTCCATATTTTTCCACTTAATTTTTTATTTTATTTAAAATCTATGTTAAAACGCATTAAAATAATTATTTTATGGTGTATTACTGAATTAGATTTTTATTATATTTGTTATAAAATAATTTAGGTTGTATATAGTATTATTTATAATTATAGATTTAATTATTTTTTATATTATATATGCAATATGGATGTTAAATTGAAGATCATTAAAATATGATTATTTTGATATATAACATACAAAAAATAAAATAAAAACAAAATATTTTAAAGATTTGAAAATAAAAAAGAATACATCGTTATTATAACTATTATTATATGTATTAAATAAGAAAGAGTAAGAGTAGTATATGGTACCTTAAAAAAAAAAAACCTAAAATAGTTTATGGTAATCCTCAAGCATAATACCGAACATGTATATGTGTCAATACAAAGCATATATTTATGTCAAATAAACTTCTGAAACATATGAGTATGTCACTTATGCTTAGGACATTCGAAAATTATATATCGGGGCTATTTATAAAATTATAATTAATATCTTATGACAAGTTATTATAGGCATATGCTAAAAATTGAGAATTACATCACCTTAATTTTATAACAAATCAACATAAAATTAGGCTTTCATACTCAAACCAAATAAAATTCATACCATTTATTATATTTTAAAAAATAAATACACTATACCAAATAAAATTCATATAATTAAAATTTGGACATTTCATGCCAAAATAAAACTGCACTCATTTTATTAATAATAATACTTAAATAATATCTTAATCTAAAATTTTGTATCATTAAGTATTATTAAAATAATTTTTTCAATTAACAACTCAATTTTATGATATGCAAATATTTGATATTTCTAACAAACAAAAGTTTATACTCTAATAGCTTACGCAATACGAATTTCTATTACGCTGCATAGAATAAGAACCAAAACGTGATGAATTACATTATAAACATTTTAAAACAATAGAAGGAATATAACTTCAATATAAAAGGCCATTGCGGCGAGATTATATTATTTATTGTGAAACCCCTGCGCTAAGAACGATTAAAATTTTAAATATTTATTTGTTGAAAATTAAGCACATCATTTTTTTTTAAAGAAAACAAATAAATACTATGATAGGATATCAACCAATTTAATGCGTGATACATCATGTTTATCAGTTTCATATATGGAATGTTTCGACTAAGTGATTATAATTGCAATAAATATCGAATGTTGCGGTTGTGGATACATTAATGGATAATTTTTATTTTTATTAAAATTAAAAGACAAATTTGTTTACATAAAATGAAAATTATATAAAAATAATTCAAAATATTTCTAAATTTTAAAATTAAAGCTCTATTGAGTTCATGACCACTTGTCGAATAAACTTAATTAAACACATTTAAATACTCATAAAACTAATGTATAAGTGATTTTGAGTAATATAAACATCATTTAAGACCGAAATTCAATGTTTATTTATGTTCGTTGGAATTGCTATTGAATACGATATTGGGTCCTAAACTACATTTAATGGGCACTCTCTAACTCAATGAAATGTAGTATATTAGTATTGTTTTCTCATTAGTATATCGATTTCATGACCATTTTACGATTAAACTCAATTAAAAACAATTTAAATCGCATATAAACTAATGTGAGAGTGATTATAGGTCATATAAAACATTATTTAAGACTGAAATTCGGTGTTTTTGTGTGTTCATTACAAGTGGTACTAATGTCCCAATATCAGGTACTACAACAATATAAAACTGGTATTATCTTACTCTATGTCTAGTATTACTTTTTTATAATGTTGACCAAAATTGAAATAATCTATTTTTGTTAAAAAAAAGTAGGTACTAATCGATCAAAAATAGGTACCACGTAGAAGAAGAAGCGATACTATTTTGGCTAAAACAGGTACTGTTTTAAGAATCGTGATTCCTCTAATCCTTCATGTCTATCATGACATGTGGATCGTTCACGCGTGATTTGGATAAAAAAAATAGTGAAAGTTAAAACATGTAGGTAGAATTTGGAGTAGACATGTATGATAATTCTATGAGATGAAGTGTGTCATTCAATTAAATGAAGTGTATTAGTAGTGTTTTCTTATTAGTAACTCGAGTTCATGACCATTGAATGATCAAACTCAACTAAAAACATTTTAAATCTCATATAAGCTAATGTGAGAGTGATCATGGGTCACATAAACATCATTTGAGACCGAAATTCGGTGTTTTTATTGTTCATTACTAGTGGTACTAAAGACTCAATATCAAGTACTACAACAATATAAAACTGGTATTATCTTACTCTATGTATGGTACTACTTTTTGTAAATGTTGACCAAAATTGAATTAATCCATTTTCGTTCAAAAAAGTAGGTAATAATCGATCAAAATAGGTATCACGTAGAAGAAGATGTGGTACTATATTGGCTAAAACAGGTACTATTTTAAGAATTGTGCTTCCTCTAAACCTTCATGTCTATTATGACACGTGGATCGTTCACGCGTGATTTAAATGAAAAATAGTGGATGTTAAAACATATAGGTAGAATTTGGAGTAGTCATGTATGATGATTTTATGAGATAAAGTGTGTCATTCAATGAAATTAAGTGTATTAGTAGTGTTTCCTCATTAGTAACTCGAGTTCATGTCCATTAAACGATTAAACTCAACGGAAAATATTGTAAATCTCTTATAAACTAATGTGAGAGTGATCACGGGTCATATAAACATCATTTGACACCGAAATTCAGTGTTTTTTATGTGTTCATTACAAATGGTACTAAAGACCCAATATCAGGTACTACAACAATATAAAACTGGTACTATCGTACTCTATGTCTGGTACTACTTTTTGTAAATGTTGACCAAAATTGAAACAATCATTTTTTGTTCAAAAAAGTAGGTAGTAATCGATCAAAAAGAGGTACCACGTAGAAGAAGATGCGGTACTATTTTGGCTAAAATAGGTACTATTTAAAGAATTGTGATTCCTCTAATCCTTCAAGTCTACCATGACACGTGGATCGTGCATGCATGATTTGAATGAAAAATATTGGAAGATAAAACATATAGGTAGAATTTGGAGTAGTCATGTATGATGATTTTATGAGATGGAGTGTGTCATGCAATGAAATGAAGTGTATTAGTAGTGTTTTCTCATTAGTAACTCGAGTTCATGACCATTAGACGATTAAATTTATCTAAAAACATTTTAAATCTCATATAAACTAATGTGAGAGTGATCATGGGTTATATAAACATCATTTGAGACCGAAATTTGGTGTTTTTATGTGTTCATTACAAGTGGTACTAAAGACCCAATATCAAGTACTACAACAATATAAAATTGATACTATCTTACTCTATGTCTGGTACTACTTTTTGTAAATGACCAAAATTGAAATAATCAATTTTCGTTCAAAAAAGTAGGAACTAATCGATCAAAAAGAGGTACCCCGTAGATGACGATGCGGTACTACTTTGACTAAAATAGGTACTATTTTAAGAATTGTGATTCCTTTAATCCTTCAAGTCTACCATGACACGTGAATCGTTCACGCGTGATTTGAATGAAAAATATCGGAAGATAAAATATATAGGTAAAATTTAGAGTAGTCGTGTATGATGATTCTATGCGATGAAGTGTATTAGTAGTGTTTTGTCATTACTACATCGAGTTCATGCCCAATTTGCGATTAAACTCAATTAAAAGCATTTTAATTCTCATGTAAACTAATGTGAGAGTGATTATGAGTCTATAAACATCATTTGAGATATAAATTCGGTGTTTTTTAATGTTCGTCGGAGTTGGTACTGAAGACCTGATATCTAGTACTAAGACACCATAAAATCGGTACTATCTTAATCTAGGTTTCGTGGAAGGAAACTTGTTCGTGGAAGGAAATTCCGGATCCCCATGATCCCCACCTCGAAGGAAACAGATAAACTCCAAGCTCTAGCAACTAAAATTGCAGAGAATAAAGGAACATTCATTAGACAATTTCAAGAAAACATCAATTAAGAAGGGTGTTGATATTCACCGCCCCCTTTTCGATATTTATCGCCCCCCAAAACACTTTTTTGCCCTTTCTAATTAAAAAAATATATATTCATTATTCACTTTACACGTTCTATCTCCCGGTTCCGGACTTCGACAAATTCCAAAAAAAATCCGACCTACTCCGGCGACGACGATGGCGGCGAACAAGGTATTTTTTTTTGTTTTGCGGCGGCCGGCCGGCCGGACCGGTCGGTTCAACATCTGGCCGGCCGCTTATGCTGGTCGGCTCTGGTGTAGCCGGCCACTGGTGCCGGCCATAGCAATGTGTAGGAAGGCCGGCTGGTCCGACCGGCCGCCGGTATCTATGACCAGCCAGACCTGAACCGGCCGGTCTGGCCGGCCGGTGGGCCGGCCTGCACTATATTTTTTTAAATATATATATTATATATAATAATATACGAAAATAATAATTATTAAATATAATTATATATTTTAAAATATATATTCAAAATATAATTAAATATTTTATAATATTAAAAATATAATTATTAGTTATATATAATATTAAAAATATAATATATGAAAATATATAATATTTATAATTATTATATATACGAAAATAAATAATTATTATATATACGAAAATATACAATTTTAGCTATATATAATTATTAAAATATTTTTAGTCATATATATATTATCATTAAAAAGTAATAATATTTTTAAAATATATTGTTATAATATAATATAAATTATTATTTTCTAATGGTTACTTATAATTGATTATGTTTTGGTAATATATTGCAGGCGCCAGTTGAGGATTTTGGAGGAGATAATGTTGATTATTGGATTTTTTTCAGAACAGATGAGATATTTGATAGTCTTGAAAAAGCTGTTAACTATGCAGTCGGTATGGCAACTATCTGTGGTTTTGCACTCATTATTTCAAAGCACTCAAAGGGAGGAACATTGAGGATTCTGAAGTGTAACCGAGGGGAACGTTATCGAGGTAATAAAATAGCCAATCTTATTAATACTGTCCTGAGAAAGTCGAAAACTAAATTTACCGGATGCCTGTTTGAGATTAAATTGAAAAAAGTGGCCGGTACGAAAGATTCTTGGAGTGTATGTTTTCCTTTGGATGACCGGAAGGGATACCATAATCATCCGATGGTTTTGTATCCCGAGGGTCACCGACAGTTCAGCAGATTGAGTGAAAAGGCAAGACAGATCGTCCGTGACATGACATCTGCCCAGGCAAGACCGGCGGTAATATTGGCAGCGATACAGGAGAAATACCCGTCTGACAATGCGGTTCGTCAACAGGTTTACAATTTTAGGGCTAAAATCCGATCAGAGAGTTTCGAGGGCAGAGATGTGACTTCCCAGCTTATGCATCTGGCTAGCCAGGCTAATTACATAATTTTCACTGATTATAATAAGGACACACACACCTTGACACGTGTGTTCATGTCGCATCCTCAGTCAGCCCTTCTCTTTCAGACATATTATTGGTACGTCGGTATAGATTCGACGTACAAAACCAACAGGTACGTTACTTTATAAATAACAATTGAGTACGAATCTTAATTATTATGTCTGAGTTGGTACGTCTTTTTATTCTTTGTTTGATTTTGCTGCCCTCATTTGCACAGGTACAAGATGCCGCTTGTGGAAATAATAGGGATGACGCCGTGCAACAAGAATTTCTTGATTGCATATGCAATTGTGAAGGACGAGAGCCAGAACAGCTATGACTGGGTTCTGAAGCGGTTGAGAGATCTGATTGGGTCTGATGTACATCCTTCGGTTATTGTCAGTGACAGGGAGATAGGGTTGATTAATCCTATTATGAGTAATTTTCCAATGTCTGCCCATCTTTTTTGCACGTGGCACATCAACAATGATGTGGAACAGAGGGTCTATAACATCACCCAAATAAATAGTCAATTCGCCGAGATGTTCACGCGTGGTCGGTGGAAGAAGATCATGGACGCGAGCACGGTGGTCGAGTACGACACTGTCGTGAAGGACATGCATCTTCGGTACAAGAAGTTCCCTCTTGTTATACAGTACGTGGAGGATACGTGGTTAGTCCACAAGGAAAAATTTGTCAAAGCGTGGACGAATCACTTCCTGCATTTGGGTAACACCACGTCGTGTAGGGTGGAGAGTTCCCACAATGTGTTGAAGTAGTGGCTTAACACGTCCACCGGTTCTCTTGACACAGTGTGGGAGAAGGCTCACAAGGAGATTGAGTCCCAACACACTCAAATCAGGTACGTTAATTTATTAAGCTACACATATTTGAATTTTTTTGCAGTTTTATTATATAACAACTACTCATAAGCAATCTAAAATCACATTAAAATGGTATTATAATTTAAACATTTTTTCAAACTATTTATGTGATTTTTTACTAATTAAACAAGTATTTTTTACTAACATTAATAATAATATTCATTTTTATCCAGTCAATTTTTCCATACTAAATAAAGATTGCAAAAATTTTTTATCCAATCAATTTTGACATCGTTGATTTTTATTAATGATAAAATATATAAAATTGATATGCTATTATCTAACTTCTATTTTAAATATTACGTACACATACATATAACATATAAAATTTTATTTGCAATCTATTATCAGGGCCACGCTGGAGGAATGTCGGAACAAACGAAGTTACCATTACACCGAATTTCCGTTCTCGCAGCTGACACTGAGGGTCTCGCATTATTGTTTGGAGATATTGAACGAAGAGTATAAGAGGATGCGAGACTTGAGCGATGAGGTTACGACGCGCTGCGGGTGCGTACTCAGATGGACGCATGGACTTCCTTGTGCCTGTTACATGAGTATGACGTGCAATGCTAGTAACCCAATTACCACAGACGACATTCACAAATTCTGGATAACACTTGAGGTCCCAGGTATAATTGTGATATTAAATTGAATGCTTTTCTTTCGTTTTTTTTTTATACTTCACCTTCTGTTATATATATATATATATATATATATATATAATTCATATATAGGTTATGATGTTTAATGTTTTAAATTTGGTTGTACGAACAGATGCCCAGAGTAGTGCACGACCATCCACGAGTAGTGTACGACCATCCACGAGTAGTGCACGACCATCCACGAGTGGTGCACGACCATCCACAATTGGGTGGACAGATCTATCGTATTTTCGGATCCTTGAAGAGGAGGTCGAAGAGGCCAATCCTGCGACCGTGCGTCATTTGAATCAGTACATTTACTCTCAGCTTCACCCTGACCAACAAGGTTACGGTCCACCTATTCAAAATTGCACAAAAACATTTAATTTAAACTCACATTTAATATAACACTAATGATTTTTTACTTTGACCAACAAGGTTACGGAGAACCTGAGGTGAAGGAGAACACGCGAGGCCGACCGAAAAATAGAAATTCAACGAAACGTGATCCATGTGTCTGGGAGTACCGGGAAAGAGGTCGTCCGGTTGGCCGTAAAAGCACTTCGTCACAAGCACCGACAAGCTCGTCTTCTCAGCGTTCAGAAGGACCGACAGGTTAATTTCTTTGTGTTTTAATCACTTCAACGAATTATGTTCATAAATAAATTCGATTATATATATTCTGACGTGAATTGTTTGTGATATTATAGAGACGTTCTCGACAGACTTCTTCGGTTACCGGTATTGGAATAGCATTCCCTACATTGTGCACAACTACGTAGAGAGCTACTTGGATGTGGTCGATGATGGGAACTGCGGATTCCGAGCAATTGCGAGCTATATTTTTGGTGACCAGGAGAAGTACCGGTTGGTAAGACAAATTATTGCAAATGAGATTGTGGGGAACATTCCGATGTACGAGCCCATCTTCTATGACGGGATCGACGCAACACTCGACCGAATACGCTGGGACGGGGGCCCTTGTGGCCGTAACCACTGGATGGAAACTATGTGCGACCTCTTTCCCGTTGCCACATTTTTTAATGCAGTTGTCGTCTTATTAGGCATGGGTGACCAAGGTAACAATCCCACCTTTTTTAGTTCTACTGTACTGCCTCTCATCGCACCATCGACGGCTACATATCCAGAGCAAGAGATCGTCTTGTGTCACCTTGGTTGTTACCCACACTATATTCGTGTTAATTTGGCGCCCGACCATCCAATATCGCCTATATGCCCTTTTTGGACGGCACTTCGAGATAAGTCGGTTAACGGTTGGGAGAATTACTACAGCAGTAGAATAAATGCGTGGATCAGGATTCGTGATGCACCTAAGTCTTGATATTCTTATTATATTCGGTTGTGATTATTCGTTATTTTGAACGTGTTTATTTCATTGATTTCGATTTTGAGTTGATGTATTTTTTTAATTATAACATAATGTGAATGAGTAACGACATTTAAAAAAAAACAACTCAATCAACCACCGACCCAACAGTAAATAAAAAAAAAAACAACCAAAAATCGAGCTACAGCAAATAAAGAGCAACAATTCAACCAAAAGTCGAGCGTACAGTAAATAAAAAAAGAAAAACAACATTAAATACATAAAACGTCAACGCTGCGTCGCTCTATCCCAATCTGACATAACTCCGGACCAAGCGTCTGCATACTCCTTCGTCAAGACAGGATCCACACGCTCGAACCGCGATATGTACGCAGAGTGGACGTCGTCGAAATGCTTGATCCACTATCCACAAATCGAAGAGTTACAATAAATAAACATTATAATGAAAGCACACATTGAGAACAAAAATAAAATAAATAAATGACTTACATAAGAAGCATCGACGCGCGAAGGGACTGGAGGAGGCTCCGCGGGATCGCCACCCAACAGCTTCAGACGATAAACCCGAGCGAACCACTCGGAGTACCCCAGCTCGACCTCCCCTGGTGTAACTGTGGTGGGGGTGTAGGCTGCCAGGTTAACGACCGACAACTGCGGGAACTCGTCCCATGAACACTCTGCAGCTTCTGCAGAGTGCTCGACCTTATACAACCGAGACTCCCAAGCCCGTACTACACTGGCTGGCCGACGGATCCTAGGAGGGATACGCTGGACGTAGCCCAGCTGACGCAACAACCGCAGAGGATTGTAGGGCTCCACGATGTCACGGTACCTAATGCACCCGCCATAGGGGGTCCTAGCCTCCATATCAGCGGGGTTACGGCCGTATGGCAACCAGTTCACCTGTTCAAAATTGCACACAAACATTTATTATAACACTCATATTTTTTAAATAATAATATTTAACAAAATATAAATAACACTTATAACATTCACGTACCTGGTCCACCCTGAGCTGGTCAAGGGCGACACGGTAACCCTGAAGGCGATCTGCGGACCTCTGAGTCACCGCCGTGCTCCACCAGGTAGAACGTGCGGGAGCGCCATCTACTGGTCGGGGCGCCTCGTGGGAGCGAAAGAGCAGGAAGTACTCGAAAATCCAGGTCTGCAGGAGAGCCAAACAGCCAGTCAGTCCCTTCGCGACCCCCCTACTGGCAACACCTAACTGTCTGTATAGGTATGCCAGTGTAGCCGAGCCCCAGGAGTACTCCGGAACTTTAGCCGTGTCCTCGCTAATCTCGTGCAGGACCTTCGGACTAATCCTGTTACCACTCTTGTCCGCGAAAAAGGTGGTACTCATCGCCATCCACAGCCATGCGGCTGCCTCCTGGTCAGCCGGGCGAGACTCGTCCAGCCCCCTGAATGCGCCCAAAACGGCGGCAATGGTCACCGCGCCGTGATCCCAGTAGGTGTCCATCAGCTCTCTCTGGTCCACCCTCAGCATCTCCATGCAGTACGCACGAAGTCTCTCAGCGGTCGGGTCGGCTGCCATTAAACGCCCCTCCACGGGAATCCCCAAAATGGCCCGAACATCGTGGAGCATTATACTCATTTCACCAAAA